CAATCGATTACTAGTCAGACAAGCCTTTGCACTGTTGTTGTGGTTTTCAAGAAATTGGCATCAGGGATTCGGCTAATTTGTCTCAGAATTGCAGACTGCCCTTGTAAAATTATTTGATTATTTTTTTCGAAGCAATTCTGTGGGTAATGAAAGCAAATAGACTGGCTCGCATGTGGTTTTGAGAGGATTTTTACTAGTTTGTTGAAAACAGCACAGAGAATTTTGAATTCCCTAAGAAGAGCTTGGTTGGTAATCAATACTGAGTGAAGTAAACAAATGCATACACAAATATCAACATGATTTATTTTAAGGTGTAGTGCTTTAATGAGAGTCAAGTTGAAATGAGAATCCACAGGGATTAAATAGGGATTCAGTTCTCTGTCCGTGCATTCATTCCTGCAGCCATTCATCAAAACAGAACTTTCCAAGAAATTACCCAGAAGCAATGAAGTTGGATTAAAAACTGAGTGGAATTTAGCTCCCTAGTAATAAGTCCAATTTAGGTCCAATTGAGCCCGTGTAGGTCTTTATTTGGAGAATCTGGAGAAGCTCATATCCAAGCGATGTGCCGTTAGAAAAACAAGCTGCAGCCTATTTGTACAGTGTCAAATCCCAACATACGTTATTTCAAGGCACTTTACATATTAAGGTCAAGACTTAAAAGATTATATAGACACCCAACAGTTCCCACAATGAGCAGGCACTTTTCATCATTTGTTCCAAGAGTCAAACCACACCTCACCCTCAACATATTTGAAAGGTAATCCTCCCCAATATTAGCCCCTCAAGTTCATGCTGCAGCTGGATATACTTCAAAACAACGTCCAGCCTCCACCACGCTCTAACCAGGTTAATGAGCGTATTTGTAAATCTGATAAAAAAAAAGGCATGGAGTTAAATTCGATCGTATCCTTTAACATTTCCAACATGTCCAGAGTCCATGTGACAAAATGGCTACAGTCTGTTGTTCGGTTCATTTTGTTCAGTCAGAGCCACCATTTTGGATTGCCATGAAGTTTGTATGGATATCTATGGTGCCCAGATAATAACTTTTATTTCGCTGGTGATTCCCTGACTTTATCACTAGGTTGATATTTGTGGTTTTGAGTGAAATATCTCGAGAACTACTGACGGATTTCAATACAATTTGGTTCAGACATTCAGGTTCCCTCTCAGGATGGATTGTAATCTCCTAGACATCCAATAAAAGTGCATCCCACCTTCCACACTTAGCATTGCACTCCTATAACATAGTCAGACTTTCTAAAGCTTTTTGATAGAACGTATCAGTCAACCCAACAACATGCTTATTCTCAGTTTTACATGTGAGGAATGAATCCTGTGCTCGAAAACTTTTGTGACTGTCAGCTGCGCCACCTCTGTTCACCACTTTCTTACGCTGATTTTGCAGTCGGTGAAGTGTTGATAATCCCACATGTGAGAGGATCACATCTTTATCTAACACAAGTCTTCTTTTAATGATCCCGTGCCAAACCCCTGCTAGGTCACGATCTGGAGTGCAAGATATGTGCCCCACGATGCTGCTGCTGTGGGTTTAAATCATGAGGAGGATCCGTTTCCTTTTTATCACCTTGGCTCAAAGCAGGAAGCATTCCCATTTCACATTTAATAGTTCTACACAGTGCATTGAATTCACCTTCAAACCAAAGCAGACAAGGTTGAAGTGTGGAGGCCAGAGGCAGTGATTATATCATATGTAACCAGATATGGATTTTCATTTCAATGCAGGTGGTAAACGGAGTGAAACTGCAGCTTTGCCATTGACCAGCTTCACATCAATACAGCAGAGACCCATTCTATGCTTGAGAATTGCTGGAAAATTGAATGCTGAATAGAAGCGTTTCTTACTGCACAGGATCCGATGAAAAAGTCAGAGTGCCTCCAATCCAAATTCATAAAAGCCTTTGATGTTTGTTGGAATAATTTTATGCCTACTTCTCATTTTCCATTTTATGCTTGCTTTGAATTTTGATTGTGACTTCAGGCACTTTTCAATTGATATGCATGATGAACATTGTAATAATTTAAAGGCCATTGTTGAGAAACAAACATTTCATTTGCCCTCAAAATGAATTCTGTGACACACCTTTGGTAAGTTCGGAGAGAGTGGTCGCGGGATGGTTATTGTATCTTTTTGTTCGATGTGTTTCTGACAAAGAAATGTGTACTTTAATTGTCACTCGGTGAGTTCTGTTTCTGTTGTGTTTAATTCACTTTGGAAATCAAATGTTTTGTTAGTTGGTGTTGTTGCAGTGATCTTGTCTGTTCTTGATTGTACATTCACGCTTCAACAGCCGTTGGGGCACGTGTTTGTGCATCTTTACGTGTCTCTGTGTGTTTATTTATGGATGCACGATTGCCTGCTCAAATTTGGCGTTTGGTGGCTCATTCCTTCGAGGGATGGCGAAACTTGAGAGGCCGCCTAAAATACTGTGCAGTAATTGGAATTGCTTTATCTTCAGTCTCATCAATTAATGTGCAATTTTCCATTTAATCACTAACACGCTCGCTGCATTTGCAATTAAAATGAGGACTGATAACAGAGGAGATGCCTTTCAGCTGATACCAGTTGGAATGAGAACAGAAACCAGAACGCAATCAGTACACACAAGGACTCATACAGACGTGCACATGGAACACTAACAAACGTAAACACATGCAACACAAACACTCATATAACCGCACTGAATGAACACACACAGATGCATGCACACTCACACAATGTGACATGTTAAAACACACAGATGTGCAACTAAAACCCCAAATTAGATGTCATCAATGAAACTAAACCAGCATTTAACATCAGGATGTTGGCAGCGATGGCGGGTTCAGATGCCACTCACTTTGAGTTGGCTCTCAGCCTTGTTGTCCTGTCACTGATTTTTACAGACACATTGCCGCAGTCTGGGTCTCAGTGTGAGATGAGCTCACTGTCTGAGAACATCTGCCATTTCTCGACCTGACTCTGAAGCATCACTTCCTGTCTGGAAGCAGGAACCCGAACACCACCCAAGGAGAGTCTTTTTTATTTGAGGAGCGTGGTGCACAGACATTTACAGGCAGGATTTTATAAGAGTTAAAGTACAAATGTGGTTTTCAGTATGAACCACAATCAGTTTGTGATATTCCTGAAATATTCCTCATGTGTCTGTGGTATTAAAGGAAGATATATTTGTGCGTCTCTCCTCTCAGTCTTCCTTCTGGAACTTTAGCAATATCATGTCAGTCAGGCTGAAGAGAGGGTCAAAGGCTGACATTAAACCCTGCTGATTGGCTGGCTGTCCTCTGACTGTCGCACGGCCAGGTCACCCACAGGTGATGGATTGTAGCCTATGACTGTAGCGTGACAAATTTCACAAGTAAATACAAACACCAATGGTCAGTCCTTGCTGAAATGAAGATCGGTGCATTTAGTTTGGGGCTAAACACATGAGCCTTGGGCTCAGGTGGCGTCAGGGTGACTGTCCATGCTGTTGCTTTGCACAGCTCCACTGCCTGAGGTCACTTACCTTGGCTCTCCAGGCCACACATTGACATTGTGCATCGAGACCAGCCAGGGGAACGTGAGGAGCTTTTAAGCCCAGTTTTTGAATTGTCTCCTTTGATATTCTGGTCTATTTTTTCTAAAATCCTTACATGTGATTCTGGTGAAAATCATTATGCGATTGTTGTAGTTCCTTTTCATTAGGCCATAACCTCACAAATTAGAATCAGTAAAAGTCTCGGCTTTATCGGTCAGGTGCATTTACATCTTTTTTTTTTTTCACATCCTGAGGTGGTTGTTGCATGGATGTTACAACTGGAACAGAGATGTTGCTCAAATGTTCCAGTTCCATTTCACTAGGTTATAATCGAGCGTTGTCCTCCAGGTCTATACCATTCTGTCCAAGTGCACCAGTCCATTATAATTGTTGCCTGCCTGCAATGACCACAAGGGTTTATGTGGCATTATGAGGCATTTTTGCAATGAGCCCAGTAGCTCAAGGTATCCATGTGAACATGTGGACTTTGAAGAAATATTCATTTGATGATCCAAATCAGTGGTTAAAGCACCAGATTGAACTCTGTAATGTCTATATCAAACAACCGGTGAGATCAGGGCACACTCTTTTTTTAAACAATGATTTAAAACAGTAGAATTGCATGATAATAAAGTCTAACCTCACATTTATTACTCCCCCAGGTCAAATTGTTAATTTACAAGACATTTTCATGCGGTGCCTACTCATAGGTTATATGTAGCTTCAGGATGGATCACCTGCTGTGCTTGCCTATAGTAAGTTAGGGCAATGGTGGGGGTCTACGTGTTTGTGTGCATTTGTGTGTGTGAACACAATTAGCTCCAACTGAGGGGGTAGGGGGGTGCGATGGTTACAGTGGCATTCCACAGGGTACAGCCCTCAGCCCTGTGGGGTTCCGGCCAATAGCAATTAGCCCACCAACAAGAGCCTTAATTAGCCCTCTTGATTGGCTTGGTAACAGCACAACAACAACAGCAGCAGCCAACACATAGAGACGAACACCAAGGTGACTCCACCACGATGCGTTGCTTTAAAGCCAGCTGTAATTAGTAAACAAGCATAGCTGTCTGTAATTGGTAAACAAGTAGTCGGGTTTGTTTGCGGTGTCATTATGAACCTGCTGCTATGTAAAGTGTTTCTTTAAAGGGCTCAATGATTGAGTTTGTGTTGCTATGTTGCATTTCTGCTTGGAAGCCTTGTAGATCCCTCAGTATGAATACATCATCCCATGCAATACAAGCATAGGGAGACTGACAGGAGAAGTAATAAAAATAATAAAGATATCAATAAATCAAACAGAGAAAGGGAAAATAAGTGGGCGGAGAGGGACGAGAGTGAGATGCTGCATGAGAATCTCATCTTGTATTATTTAGTAATAGCAGCACCTGGTGGCTGCTGCCATTAAAGAATGTACAATCACTGCTTGCACTGGATTAATTTTTTCTGTTTCTTTGCCAGTCTCAATGTGAAGCTATCCCATGATGCAACATGCGTCCCCAGCACCTGCAGTGACAATGATGGCCACCCAGAGTGTTCCTCCACCATCGTACCAGGAGAGCCAACAGGTCAGAGGTCGAATCACAGTTTATCTCATTGCCTGACATAGAACTCCTCTGATAGAAGAACTATGTTGATGAATGTCAAAGACCCAGGAAATGGGTCTCTGCATCTCACACAAAAGCACAATTTTGCATAAACGACGTGACTTTCAAAGTCCTCGGATTGCTTTGCAGTTCTCACTCACTCACTGATTTGTTTTCTTGTGAACGGGAGGGATCAGTGTGGGATCAGGGGGGTCATACACTGCACAATCTCAGGAGAAACCCCAGACTGGTATGTCTGGTCTCCAAATTACATTTGATCATTAAAAACACACACGAGACATGGTGAGTCCTCCTGTCAGCAGAACGGCAAATCAAGCAGGAGGGGGTGAAACAGTTCGCTGGACGACACATCACAGTTTTATAGAACTAGTAAATCATCAAAATATTTCTCAACTTTGTCCTCAACTATGTAATTACTTTTTTACTACTCAGGAATAGTAACATAGTATTTGATAATTACATGCTTGCTTTGTGTATTATTAATTTAACTTAGTCTACTTCTTCATGACTTACTTAGTCTACTTCAGGGGCATCTCACCACTATAGTACCTGCTTCATACCTCCTTCACCCTGTCCTGTATAATGATTGGCTGTAGTTGTCACTGATTTATATAGATATTTAGGCTGCTTGAAAATTGGTTGGAGGAATGGAGGATGTGTGCAAGCCTCTTGAATTGTATTTGACACAACAATTGACGACTGCCGATCGAACGCCGATTTGGCTCCAATCTTGGGCTTTTGTCAATGAATTGCAGAATTTGTCGGCAAATTGTAAATCGGGTGAAAAGTCATGCAGTGTGAACTATAGGAATTGTTTAGGTTTTAATTTTAAGCTTCAGCTGTAGGAGGATGCTTTGCACCAGTCTGACATCAGCAAAGTATCATCATAATGTGATTCATTAGACGAGGCAGATCTCCTCTGAGTGGTAAAATCTTAATAAGTAATAAATCATGATATTTATACCCTCGTGTTTTAATTTTGATTGCTACTTGTTAAGTTGTGATTAATTAATGCAATAGGTAATTGCTTGAAATCTGAAACCAAGTTTTCAAGAAGATTTAATATACCTTTGGTTTGTAGAGAACCATTATAAATTAATTATGAATTTAATATCATTTGTGCTAGAAACCATTTAGTAATTTACCTCAGCAATTTTTAACTAGTAATCTCATGATTAGCAGTTAGATAAGATTATAAATATAATATAAACTCTAGGAAATGTAATATGAAATCAACCAAAGTTGGAATGAACCCTTTTGCCATATTTGGACTTAGGCTACCTGATGACAGATGCAAATTATTTTGTATAATAATGATAAGAAATTCCTTTTTACTTTTCTGCTGTTAATGATAAATGGTCTGCGTTTATATTGCACTTCTCTGGTCTTGATGACCACTCAAAGTACTTTACAGTAAAGTTTTGCCATCAACCCATTTACACACACATTCAGACAGTGCATCTATGTCTTCATCTTCATCTCTATCATACATCAATCATACACTGCTGACACACATCAGAGGCAATTAGAGGATCATTAGCTTGCTAAAGGACACTTTGGCACATGGGATGGGGGAGATGGGGATCCAGCTGCCGACCTGGTTAGTGGAGGACTTGCTCTACCTCTACTTAAAGGTCCAGTGTGTAAGATTTAGCTGAAAGGGATCTATTGGCAGAAATTTAATGTAGAATAATCCTCGTGATGTTTTCACTTGTTCGTTTCATCTAAATTGTATGAATTGTAGTTTTCTTTACCCCAGAAAAGACCTTTATATTTAAATACTTTATATTTGCATTGAGGGGACCCTCTCTATGGAGGCCGCCATGTTTTTTACATTAGTCCAGACTGGACAAACTAAAAACCTTTTGAGTTTTTATGACAACTGAAGCTACCACAGGTTCTTTTTCATGTTTGGAAGGAGAGGGTGAGCTGAGGTGTGTTCAGCCGCAACATGCAACTTCAACACTAGATCTCACAAAATTCTACACACTGTACCTTTAATGTGTAGAAAAATATTAAAGCCCGGGCCACAGGTTTGCACATTAGATGAAGGTGAGAAAAATACATAAATGGCCATAAAGTATTGTTATTACATAGAATCAGAAAGTAATTCATGAGTTTTCTTCCATGTCCTGTGCAAGTTTTCCACTGACCAAACGTATACAGCATGTCATCTGATGTTACTGATGTTCTGGGTCAACTAGACCCCACAGAGGTCACACATCCTGTTTGACTTGTTTGATTAGAATCACAGAGTACATCCATTGTATTCACTGGGCTTTTGTAGCTATAGGTTCCCCGAGACAAAAATAATATTCTCTTCTGTAGTGGATTTCAGTGTCATCAGTTTGTAAGCAGCTCTCGTGAAAATGGGAGAAAGGTGAGTTTGTGTGATTTTGTAGCAAACAAAACATCAGTACATTATTAATTATATTTATACAATATAATTACAATCATGTGAAGACGGAAGAACTTCTATTCACTTACATTTTTTGTATTTGTATTGCCCCAAATCATATCATACATGACTCCTGGGCACTTTAGGCCGAGACCTTGCAATATTTTAGAGGAACCCAACAAATCCCACAACAAGAACTTTTTTTTTTTTTTTTCTGATGGAATAGTATAGGAATATCATTGTAATGTAATAATATGGTGAACATATGTAACATGTATAGCAGTGTTACAAGAGTGACACCATTTACTACTGTTACTACTCAGCACAACAGACAAAACACGACACGAGTGTCTATACGAATATGAAAATGATTTTTCATGTTGTTGATTTGCATGTTATAATTAAGACAGTGTCAGAGTGCAGGCGTGAAACGGGAAAAGGTCAAGCTCCAGTCTGCCGTGTTCAACACAACACGTGACGCCACCAACAGATCAGAGTAATTAATGTAGACCAACTGTGGCTGGACCCATGCGTTGTCCGACACCTTGGATCATCTCGCCGAGGTGAAGTTGAGCAGGTCCATCTAACCCTCCTCCCTCGTCCACACCACCTCAGTCTGCTTTCGCCCAGAGGATTAGTGCCAGGGGAGAGCTCCCGAGCTGCAGTCTGCGCACTCGGCAAATGCAAATGAGAGCTAGTTAAGTGTGAAGAAGCTAATTTATTTTCCATTTGGGGCTGGGATTAAGACTTGAAGCTTCCTCCCTCCCCACCCTGGAAAAAAAATGGGGGGTTGTTCGACTCATTTCCTCAGAGAGAGCGAATGAGAGAAAGGAAAGTGGGGTAAAGGATAAGGAAGACAATGGGTTGTGTTTGTAAGCATGTTACTCTTCTGCCCAGCCCACGGCACGAATAACAGCTTGAGAAGTGAACAGATTCTCTCATGATTCACGTTGAAACACCAGTCGTCTCATACGCAGAGTATGGTACGATAAACTAAGTACACGTTGATGAGCTGTGAACACACTTAAGTGTCACTGTTGCTGTTGCTAACTAAAAATCCAATATTTATCATTTAACAGGAATCTATATGTGACCTGAACACGCCTTGTTCAATTACCTAATCTGTCCTGTCTTGCTTTTTGCTTAATAGCTTCATTACAAGGCTACTGACCTGTCAAGCAACAATTATTCATTTCAGCTTCCTCCTCATTTGTAGTCGGTCAGTGTCAGCTGCACGTTGCACCTTACTGCTTTTGAAAAGTGATTAAAAAATTACTCAGACCTTACAAGCAGCTGCACGCTCATGCTCATGGGATAACGCCTTGATCATGTGATCATGTGAAGCTCATGCTGAGGCTAATTACACGCAGATCGTGGTGTTTTTCGGATTTTGGTCCAGTCAGTTCAAATGCAAATGTATTTAAAAAAGATGCATTCATTTATATTAATTGTTTTTCAGACTAATTGTAAATAATTTTTCTTGATAGCTAAAGCCATGCTCGTGACAAATGACTGTTGGAACAGTTGTGGTTGAGATACTGTGAGATTTGGTGCAGATATTAAAATTTCCAACCAAGCTGCAGTAGCATGCTGCACAACATTATACCTACTAAACTTTAACATGCTAGCATTTTAATCGTAATAAAAACCAAGAGCCTCCGGCAAAGCTGAAGACAGTTTCGCTTCAACTGGACAATACTGTGAAACCTCTCAAAATAAGGAAACTACTTTTGTTTTTCAAACATTAATTCAATTTTGGATCTTTTTATTTTGTGTCCCCAGATGACGGGCACCACTCAGCAGAACGCCAAGACCCCACAGGTCCATATCCCAGCAGCCACTGCAGCAGGAAATACCTCCGTCAGTGCGACCCTCGACCCACAGGCCCAGCTTGAGTCTGACAAGAGGGCTGTTTACAGGTTGGTTCAATCTCCCATGAAACATTTATTTTTGTTATTGTAGGGGCCCATACATATATATCCTGTGTGAAAGATGCACAAATCTGAATTCCAAAAGAGTTGCTAGATCATCCCAGTCTACATAGAGCACTTAACACGGTCAACTGGAAGCAAAATACCATTTTGTTAATCAATTTGCCTCTTGGTGAATAGATGTCAGTATTTGGCCCAATATTTGTCAAGCTAGCTTTGGCAAGCACTATTCTACCCTTGACTTGTTCCTCCTTTGGAATGATTACTGCATTTTCTCCCTAGCCTCGCGCTGGCTTTAAGAAATTGTAAATGGACTTGATGTGCCAATGAATGCCACAAGCACTGGTGCTGTTTTTAATGTGTTCTCTTAAACCTGCCTGACATAAAAGCTTTTGAAACTGCACTTGAAGGGTGCATCCTTCAATTTCCACTCGTGTCGTTCTTAAACCAAAGAGCACCTTCAGCAAATGCTTTCACTTATCAAAGGCGAGCAGAGGCTCAATTTCTTCTTTGAATTTTATAAATTGACTTTTAAATAAACATTTAACATGGCAGCAGATGTAACAGCTCCAGTGTCTCAGTATTAGGCCAAAGCAATTAACATGAATGAATAAAACTCTTAAAATGAAATACTTCGCCAATGTTCTTTTGGACAACAACATTTAAAAAAACATATTTAAACCAGAAAATACTGTATAAATAATATCAGAATTTTTTTCAGCATGGTTCCAGACTTTAATTTTAAAACATCATTTATTTCTCTTTCACGCCAACAGTCATTTTCAAAGGTAAGCATCACTCTTCAAATCACAGAGACCACATCCTGGAGTTTAGGTAAATTCACTAGTCCCTCTCCATTTATCGAAGGCCATGTGTAAATGTTTTAATTATCCTTTATCCTTCCTAAAAATATAAATGCACTTTCTTTACATACACTCTAAAATCACTTTGCACCATGGATCCTGAAATGTTGTGTGACAATTTCCACACTGATCTGTAGAGAAGCTCCTGCCTTTTAATTTCTTTCATATTAGGTTGTTTACAGATTGGTTTCAAATGTTACGCTTTTATTTACCATGTAGAAGCCCTTCAAGGCATCACCTTCTAAGGTGTAGAAAATAAAAATAAATTAAAAATCACTGCTGGGTGAAATCCAAAACAGCAGTAAAAAAAGAAAAACACCTCGCTCCACTCTCAGCTTAGAACTAGAATATTGATGCACCCTTATAATGAGCTTGTATTATCTATTTATGAAGTAAATTATTCAAAATACAGACATTTTTAATCGTGCTGGGTGTTCTCCTGGTGAAGGCAGCGCACCAACAACTAACTAGATTTGTTGAACCAAATGAGGCACAAGCTGCTGTGCAGTCTGGTGCAGCCCGTCAAGTCGAGATGACACTGCAGACTGCGTTGGGCCGCCTGTCCCGGCTCCTCGGGCCCCACCCGCGGGTATCCGCCACTGCTGTCTGAGGAGGTGCGAGCCCCCGCGCTCAGGCCTGAGGCGAGCGTCTGTAAAGTCCTTAGCAGCTCCTCTGAGATACACGGGTGCCTTTGATGTGAGCAGCCATGTTTGAAGCAGCTTGGTTTGGTGGTTGGGGGTGGGGTGGAGGAGTGGTCCACATCAGTAAATCAGCCCCTCTTCCACTTCCCCATTCTTTTATTCCTTTTTTCTTGCCTCAGCTTTTCTCCTCTTCCCTCCCTCAACCACATATTGAGGGGAGAAGAGAAGAAGCTCCCGGGAGCAACAAAAGACAACAAGAATAATTGTAACAAAGACATGTAGAGCCTATTATTTATATGTGTATTTCAATGGGGTCTCAGCTACCCCTTGCAGTCCTCTGTAGAGAATATATTAATGTTAATAATGCTAATGTACTTTATTAGTTGCTTGGTTGGAGTACATCTATAAGAGCTGAGATCTGTCTGTCCCATTTCCATTGTGTTAATTAATGTAAAACAGTTTTAAACATGCTCAGTAGGTTAGCAAAAAACTGCTCTGTAGGAAAGAAAAAGAGATATTTGTAAACTGTGGATAAACAAAATTTAAAATGAATGGCAGTATAGGTAAATATATATACACAGACACACACACACAGATATATTAATTCATATAATTTCATTAAAATGAAGCTGCCCCTTGAACTCCAACACAGCCTTTTTGACTATAACAACTCAAACAGTTGTAATCTAAAAGAAATAATGTGATAATAGTATTTTTTTTTTCTTTCCAAAGGCAACAATAACAACAGCGGTACCTGACTGCAACCATGAAAGCTGCTGTTTGTTTTATTGGGACAGTCTCGATTAAAACTTTAATCATGAGTCTTTTCCTGATCAGTTATACTACAAGTTGCTGAAATTGAAACACTGCATATTGCACATGTTAATAGTAACATTGACATCTGCACTCTAATTCTAAAGATCGTTTTCACAAACCCACCTCAGTCTGAAATAAAGGAAAATGACAAATCTACAGTTGTGCATGTCCGCCATGTTTATAAACCTGCACTGGCCCTTACTGAACAATGCTAGAAATAAATGGGTCATTTTTGGACTTAATAGCCAACCCATGAGTCACCTCTAGTTTGTAAAACAGACTTTCTGCATAGTTGTCCTGTCACATGATGTCACATTGTCAGTCATCTAAACAAGCCTTTAAAAGTATAAGGGTCTGTATCATTAACTTTTACAGGTAAATGCAGTTGTAATATTATCAGCGTCTTGTGACACAACAGGGGAGAGTTATAAGATGGCATCTCGAGTTATTTCCCACTTAAATGGTGCAATGGAGAATATAGAGTCAGCCGAGTCTGTAAGTGTGTGTGATGGCCAATTAAAATGTTGTGATCAACGGTGTCAGTGGCAGCACCGAGCTCAGGGAGCGACTGGGGTTGAGGATTCACCAGCATGTGCTGTTAAATATGATTATTTGTAGCTCCTAAGTGAAACCCTCAATGCTCCGTATTTAGACGGAGCAGAGCAGATCAGAATTTTAGAGTTTTTTTGTCCTTGCAAGGAGCTAATGACTAAATACACTTTGTTACCTTGTTATGAACACAATTAAATTTGACTTCACAAGTCACAGTCTCCCACAGTGAGCCAAACTATGTAAAAAGACACAAATAGCACTCTTATTTTAATCGTCGTCTGATCTGCCAGTTCCAGCCTCTACACAGTGCTCATATGGGGGCTGTAGACTTTGAAAAGAGGAAAAGCACAGAGAATCAGTATCTCTGCCATTTTTCTTTAATTATTTTGCTCAGGAAGTGTGTGTGGGCTTTAATGTTTCTTTTCACTAATTGCTAGAATGCCAACTTTATGAGGAGATGTGTGGTTTCCTCTTTCCCTCGCTCCGTCTCTCTGCCTACTTTGTTATTAGCAGCGGAGTAAATGTGTGATAGGGTAATTAGCCTAATGAGTTGTGGCATTTACTATAAAGATCCCTCTGGATTCTCTGCATCTTATTAAAAAGCTGGTAAGGGTTTTGTTTTTCAGCTTGCGGATGTGGTGTTCACAGCTGATGGAGGCTGATTCGGCTCAGAGATGGAAATATGCACTTAATTGAAAGAGACATCATAATAGTCCTTTTGTTGTTTCTTTTTTTAATAACATGCATGTCCTTGTAAGGCTTAGAGACATCTCAGGTAGAAGAGCTGTTTTGACCAGGACATGCTGCTTTAAGTAGTGGTTATAATTGGTTGGCCAATGAAAGATGGAGTATCTGATAACCCAATACACACTTTATCAGAGTCGGTGAACATTTCCTCAGCTGGTCCCCTTTGTGTGTGTGCTGAAATGAATTCTGGTGTTCCCTACACAGCCCTCTGTCTATAAATGGCAAATAAATAATACTCCAGTCTATGAGCAACAGGGAGCGTGAATGCTTGTGCACTGGGTGAAGGTGAGGATTAGCCACATCCCTAACGACTAGTGCCAGTTTAGGGATTAACAGGGGAAAGAGTAGTCTTCTCTTTTGTTGCACCCGGATCTTGTGGAGTTTGTATAAAAAAAAAAAAAACAGAGATAATAATCTTCAATCCCGATTAGCTAGCAGGCAAACTCCTATCATTTCTCGGTCCACTGGCAACCAATATTAAAACAACAGCTAAAAATCTAGATATCCCATTTGATTCCAATCTGAATTTTAAAACACGCATTAATTAAATCATTAAAACCTACAACCATCCATCTACGATATATTTGCAACTAGTTCAAAATGCTGCTGCTCGTATTTTAATTGAAACAAAACATAAGTCTTATAGCAATCTTTGCATCCCTTCACTGGTGGTCAAATTCAGGATTGAATTTTAATAACTCTCAAAGCCACAATCCCAGTTGCAACCTGAGATCGACCAGCCTGTCCTTGTTAGCAGTCCCTAGGTCGAGGCTGGCCACTCAAGGTGACCGGGCTTTCTCTGTCAGGGCCCTGAGGCTCTGGAACTCCCTGCCTGACGAGATTTAGATCTATCTTTAAATTACTGCTCAAACATATTTTTATAGGAATGCATTTTTAACATGAGATTTGTAACTCTGGTACTAGTGTGTTGTTTTAACTCTTTTATTCCTCTAATCTTCTAATCTTTTATTGCAACCACATTTTATGTAGTTTTTAAATATGACAGCTTCTGACTCTGCTGCCTATGAGAGTGGGTATTTAGTTTAGTTTAAAAAAAGCATAGAGGTAATGGCGTCTGATCTACTGAGTGGGCCACATGGCGTTCATAGCACTGCCCAGTAGCCAGTCAGGTTTACCTTTAGCCTCTCTCAATGGTATTGTGATTAAAAGGCTGAAACACCTGCTGACTCCGAGGTACTTGGTGATTATTATTTTCATTACGTCAACCAGTCTTACAGAGCTCAAATGCGATGGTTAAACAACTGTGCAGTGGATCTTAAAATGTAACTGAATTTGTGTGAAGCACTTTGTAACCCAAATCCAGTTATTATTATTATTATTATTACTGATTGGGGCTGCAGGGGAGGGACAGGTGGCAGCGTTAAAGATATGTCATGGAATGTCAACCACTGGTAGCGTGGCGTTGGCGTATGCTCTTCGACATAATCACGTTGTCAAGAAGGTGAAATGGCTGTGGAACAACCCAAAGAGGAAAAGGTCAGATCAACAAAAATTAAAAAAGAAGTATTTTGATTTAAGGTGGAAAGATGTGTTTACATCAGTCGGGCTTTCCAATGGTAGAGACATCTTGGCTTGACTGGAAAATAAATTCCTCTGATTTATCTCCACTGGGTTCTGGCTGTAATCTTCCATTTATGAATGTTTTGATGGTCTACCAACTATGGTGGACTAACCTAGCAGAGCTGAAAAAGAGAGATGCTGAAGTTGCTGTGTTTCTACTTGCTTGGTATAGTAATAGTTTTGTTAGAGCTGTTGTTGAGTGTTAGTTTGTCCTGTTTGCCAACATTTGTGAAAGGTAATCCTAATTGGCAGGTACCAAGCAAATGTATCTGTCCATTGTTGGCTCACGGTCATTCAGTTTACTCTAAGGCTTTTATCCAATGCTGGGGGTGGGGCATGTTTTGTCATCCCTTCACAAGCTGATGACACAACATCAGGAGCAATTGTGGGTTCAGTGTCATGATTAAGATTAAGATTCCTATTTTTGGTCCCACACACAGCATGCAACATGCAAACGTGGGGAAATTAGACCTCTGTATTTAACCCATCCGTGTGAACGGAGCACACACGGAACATTCACACAGTGACCACACATGGAACAGTTGGCAGCCATGAAGGCGCCCGGGGAGCAATTGGGGGGTTCGGTGG